AGGGACAGGCTCCCCAGGACTCTAGCACCAGAGGCCCCACCCCCACCCCAGGGAGGCCCCAGCTCTGGGAACTGGCTAAAATCCTTCCAAGTCCCACGAAGTCTCCCACGGGCTTTAGGCCAAAAGATTTGGCTCTGCCTGCTAGAAACCTAAAAGCAATTTAATAGCTTTGGCTTCTAGAACATTGGCTAACTTTTCAAGTTACAAGAGCACATTCGTGAACAAATAACGTTGTTTTGTCCCCGCTTGAAAAAGCAGTCCATGTTCGTAATAAAAGTTTTGCCAAACGGAAAGAAAATAAATATTAGAGGATACATAAGGAAGTAAAAAAAAAAAAAATAACCACTGCCTCTTAGGGGGATTTCCTCCTACTATTTTGTAGTCATATATCTATGAGGAATTGTGCTGTTTTCCTTTTTTTTCCAAGTTGGAATTTTATGATATATATGTATGTGCAGTATGGTTTTCTTCCCATTTCTTTTCATTTGGTTATGTTGTGAGCATTTTCTCATTAATAGTCAAAATAGGCCTGCCTGGTTCTCTGTCCTGTGGTTATAGCATGAGTAGGCTGCCCGCGCTTTGCCCCCACGTGCCCCAACTCGTGTTGTCCCCTTTCCCAGCCACGGCAGGAGAGGAATGTGCCATCTGTTTCCACCACGCTGCCAACACCTGCCTGGTTCCCTGCGGCCACACACACTTCTGCAGCTACTGTGCCTTGCGGGTCTTCAGGGACTTGGCCAAATGCCCTGTATGTCGCTGGGAGATCAAGGCGGTGGTCCCATCGTGGGGCCCACCCATTCTGAGGACTGGGGAGGGCCTCCTGATGCAGGTAGCAAATTGAATGTAGCTCTGAGCCAGAGGGAGGAGGTGCAGCCCCACCTCCGTTCTGGAGAAGAGTCCGAAAAGCTGGTCATCAACAAGAGATGGGGGCAGGGAGGCTCTTTCCCCCTCCCCAACAGGTTGGGGTCCGTGGAGCAAGGAGGAGCCCCTTTTTCTGCCCACACCAGAACTCCCTTCCTAGTGGGGTTCCTGTAGAAAGTGGCTCAGCAGTGGGCCAGCAGGCTTCTGGTCCCCCCCTGCTTGGCTCCAAGTTCATTTGTGCCCAGGGCTTGCCAAGGCTTTTGGCTGGCCGCCTGGTCCAGCCACCATAGACCTAGCAATCATGGTACGCGTAGGTCACATCCATGAGAAGGGCCTTTATATAGAGATGAGACAGCCTGATCCCTAGTTTCATAGCTGGGGAAGTTAAGGTAACTGCATGTATCTGGTGAAATCCCAGCCCACCCCTGGGTATTGAGGAGCCTGGACCAGACACACGGAGGCATCTGGGTGGAATGTGTACAGTCTTGTGTGGAAGCTGGGTGACCCCTGACAAATCCTCCAGAAAGTGGATAGGAGAGACCTGCTTGCCTGCCTTGCAGGGTGATTGTGAGGTTCCAGTGAGATCGCGTTTCTGAAGAGGTTTCCGCACGTGAGACTATACTGTCGTTGCTATGCCTTTTTCCTTGCCAAATTCTGAGGTGTCAAAATAAAGTTTGTCTTTTGGGAATGATTTGCAATGAATATGTCCTCTTTGCCACAGTCAGGGGGAGTGGATGGAGCTGTGGCCTGTCGGGATGCTAGGGCATTGGGGAACCCTCTGTCCTCTCCGGATACACCCTACGCTTGCGGTGGACTGGGTGGGGCTTGGGCATTCAGGTCTGTGGACTTTATTCTGCTGAGCACGTGAAGGGGACGGTCCTACACTCCCAGGCCTGAAGTCACAGCCGGGCTTTGCCCCTGCCACCCTTGATTTTGGAGGGACTTCCAGGAGGCTCTGACTCCTGAACGAAGGGAGGAGTTGACCCAAGAGCCCACCTCAGCAGGTGCTTGTGGCGGGGGCAAGCCATACCTGATACTTTGCTGCTGTTCTTGTACCGTGACCAGTGGTATCGAGTCCTATCTCCCGAGAGAGAGGACTAAAAAGGCAGGTCCGACTGTTGTGCTCAGACTTGTAATGATGCTTCATCAACCGCCTCCCTACCCACACCATTGCCAGCCAGTGGGTCAGTGCGTTGGGTTTGGTGAGAAGGGTGTAGCTCACACTCTGGAGTCGGATCCCCTCTCCACCACTCGTGAGTGGTCTAATTTTGGTCATGTGCCTTGATTTCTGCGAGCCTCAGTTTCTTCATCTGTAAAGTGGAAATAAGATCATTGTGTTTGCTGGCGTGTCTGAGAATAGTGAGTATGAAACTTGTACCTTAGATGAAATACTCAAAATACAGCATCTCCCTTCTCCTGGAAAAGGCATCTCCCAGGAGAAGCAGCCAAGAGGTCAGTGGGCGAGGCGTCAGGGATCCGGGTGTGAGTCCTGACAGCCTACTGAGTTTTACCAAGGGCCCCCATGTCACCCCGGTTATTTTGGAATGATTCCTGTAGATCCTTTTTTCATCTTTTTAAGTGTCCTTTTGTTGTTAAACCCAGACACCTCCAAGGCAGGGGCATTACTTTAGTCGTATTTCCGGGGAATACCTTCTTCGTAGTTAACCCCTAAGCAAGCCTGGTCTTAGAACGGATCTGTAACCAGAGCAGGGAGACTTCTGCAATGGTGGAGTAAGGAGTTCTGTAAATCCATTCCTCCATAAAGGCAACAAAAATATTGGCAAGATTGTAAAAAATCAACTTTTTCTAGAACTCTAGCTATTCACCAAAGCCTAACAACAATCTGACGAGGGGTTTATCCAAGAGAAACTGCTCAGGTTTGGTAAGAACAGTGGGGTTTGTGGGGTATTGACTTGGCCTACTGCCATCCCTCTAGTCCCAGCTCCATAGTAGCCTTAAAAACCAGCAGCCTGGAAGCTCTTAAGGGGACAGATTGGGTTAGGAACATCTCAGAAAGTTCTATCACCCAAGCATCATCACTATTTGACCTGAATGGCAATTCATTGGAAAAGCTTGATTTATGGGGTGTTGTCATTACTTAATCCAATTTGGAGCTCTCTACTCAGGAAAACCCCTATTCCCAGGGCATTTGTCAAATATAATCAGCTTCAGTTGCTTAACATCACAGCTACCTAAGACTGAGATACCAGTTGGGGCAAACATGAGCCCGGCCAAAAATTTAAAAGGAAGACCTGAGAAGATAGATGTTCACAGGGGACTTTGAAAAACTCTGGTATATTTCTGGGGATCTGAACGACTGCGTGCATGGTCTGGAAAGGCCTGAGAGGGCCCCAGTCTCTCACTTCTGGCTTCCCTTGAGGTGCTGTGCAAGCAGAAAGTAAACAGTAAGACAGAGTTGTAAATTGCCTGAGCATTGAAGGCATGCCTCAACCCACAGAGCTCCTTGGCAAAGAGCGGAAGATTTATAGCTCGAGGCATTTAAGGGAATCTTTGTCCAGTCATTAGCTGACTATTAAGCTAACTGAGTGGAGACATCAGTGGCTGCATGCTACAAGGAATATAGACCTTACAGGAGCACCGGGGTGGCTCAGTCAGTTAAGCGTCCGGCTTCGGCTCAGGTCACGATCTCACGGTTGGTGGGTTCAAGCCCCGCGTCAGGCTCTGTGCTGACAGCTCAGAGCCAGGAGCCTGCTTCAGATTCTGTGTCTCCCTCTCGCTCTGCCCCTACCCCAACTCATGCTCTGTTTCATTCTGTCTCAAAAATAAATACACATTAAAAAAATTTTAAAAAAGTAGACCTTACAGAACTAGTCCCAGAAAGTCATTAAACAAATGGATACACAAACAACAGTAGCAACGAACCCCGGCAGGGGTGGTGGTGGTGGTGGTGTCATATTCAGAGTTGCCAGATGATATCTAGAGGATCTGGTTTTCAAAATAAATTAAAAAAAAAATTTTTTTTTAACATTTATTTGTTTTTGAGACAGAGAGAGAGCATGAACGGGGGAGGATCAGAGAGAGAGGAAGACATAGAATCTGAAACAGGCTCCAGGCTCTGAGCTGTCAGCAC